CGATGTCCCTCCAATAATTACATTACATTATATAAAGCTGTCTTGTAAGCAGACTTATTCTAGAATATTTCCTTGTATTGCTGGTTTTGAGAAAGCAAGCTGCCACAAATCACACAACCACAAAGAAACAAATTCTGCCAATGATATGAGTGATCTTGGAGGTGAACTCTTCCCCAGTTGACCCTCCAGATGAGCATTCAGCTCTGCCCAACACCTTGACTGAAATCCAGCAAAGCCATGCCTGGGTTCCCGATGCACAGAGACCGTGAGATAATATATGTGTGTTGTTTAAGTTAGTAAGTTTGTGACAATTTATTACGTAGCAGTGGAAAACTAATACAGAAGTACTTTGTCTTTCTCATCATATTGATTTTGGGCTCCTTTACTCAGTTCATCCTTTCCCATCACTATTCTCAAAACTCTACCAACAGGTTGATCTCATGACCATGGATCATGACTTTATTCAGCCAGTGCCAGTGTCACCATTAATAATTACTCAACAGATGCTGAAGCTCATTTTGATTATTTCAAAAGAACACACCCAAGATTTACATTTTGCATTTCAGTTTAATCGTAGCTCTGTAATATTTAGAGCGCTGGTAAAACTTACTAAAACCTCAGAGAATAAATTTACACATGAACCTGCACTTCCAAAATCTGGAAAAGCCTCAAACAAACACAAATCATTTACCAGGGCACAGAGCACAGAAAGCATGGCACAGTCGTTTCATTGTTCTCATTTTTTCTTGCATAAATCTCATTTCTGTAAAAGGTGTGAGACTGGCAAGTCTGACTTTTTTTTTTCATGCTCTCTTCCCTGGGTCCCAATCTCTGAACTGGGAACACATCTCCCATGAAAGGAACAGAGAGTAAGTTTTAAGTATATTTAGTGTAAGAATGCAAACAAGCAAAAGTTAATAGAACTATGACATGATTACTGTCATTAGGAGTAAAACCAACCATCAAAAACTATTGCATGAGAATGCCTAGAGAATAAATAAATCAGAAGGGAGATGAATCAGTCCTTGACCTAGCAGAGAAAAAGTTGTCCACTGTCTTTTTACCATCCTCTCCACAACCTGCTCTGTCTTTTTAGGCTTAATTTTGCAGAAGTACCTTCCTGGTCACCTTTTAAAATCCAAGACTGTGGTATATGCCAGTTTCCAGTTAAAAAAAATTCAGAATTAAAAAAAAACACCTCACCAATAAGGACCGTTAACAATGGTTGGCTCTGGAGGGTTGTAAAGTATTAAACAGTTTCTTAACAACACTGTATAGTTTTCTTTAATAAGAAAGTAACCCCTTTCTCAAAAAAACTTCTGAAATAAATAAAAGTATTTTTTAAAAGTATTGAAAAAGTTTTAATTCCCTAGAGCCCACCATTGAAACATTATAAAAAATGCTATCTCTTTAATTATTTTCATATCACATTTTTACTACTCATAATCAGAAGAAAATATTTTAAGCAAAGTTTACATCTAAGTAAAAACTGAAAATTTTTGTCTGTATGACATCCCATGTGAGAAAAGAACACTGGTGGCCTTGTCTTGGCTCTGGTGCTGAGCTATTCATTTGACCTTGGGTAAGCAAGTTCACTTCTCTGAGTAGCCTGTCAAATGTGGAAGTAGATGATCTCAAGTACAAAGGGTCTTTCCTCCCGACTCAAACAGTTGATGATTATGAGACATAAGGTTTCAAAACTTTCCAAAGGTCATTCTAGACTGATGACAGCGGCAGCCTGGTTTTTCAGTTTCTCCAAATTCCCACATCAAAACTGCCAGAGCACTTACACAGCACAACTGACCATTAGGAACAAGGTATCCCCTTGAGCAACAAAACTCAAGCAGGTGGAGACAAACCACCACCATCCACAAGACCTGAGTCATGTCTGTGTGGGCAGAAACAGAGGGAAGCACCAAGGATGACGGGCCTTAGAACTGGAAAAGCCCAAAATAACCAGTAAGCATACCCAGGAAACTTCAGAGGGCCAACTGCAGAACAGTGGCTAAACCCAGAAGGGGCTTTTGCCTGAGCCTAGAATGAGTGAACAAGGGGCCCGCGTTAAGATCTGAAGGGGCTAAAGCAGCTAATCCCCATGAATTTTCAAGACTGATCCCAGGATTCTTTTTCAGGAGGAAAAACTGCTGGGAGTGGGTCAAAATGGAACAGAATGGGGGTAACAGGGGCCAAGGAAAAGAACAGATCCAGGTAGAAGCAGGTGAGGGCAACAGAGCGAGTAAGTGTCAGAAAGCCGCCTGCCACATTTTGGACTATATGACAACAGAAGACTCGGCTCTAGGAACTGAAGGGAAAAAGAAGCCATCTTAAACCCTGCCTCCTAAAAGTTCAAGGAAACTATTTTTCACATAAAAGTGAAACACAAAAGTATTGAGGTCAAATTCCATACAAAGGTTATAAGAAAGAAGAAAAAAAAGGAGCAGAATCACATCCCTATAAACCATGAAAGCATGCCACAAAATAGGAGGGCGGGGAGAAGCCCAGTGTAATAGCCTACTATTTCAAAGTAAGTTAAAAGACTTTTAGGAATAAAATGACATAAGACATGAAAGAACATAATTCAGAATCAGAAAAACTCAGAAGGTAATAGAACACAGAAAAACAACAACCAGAAATAAGAAAAAATACATTTCAGAAATAAAGAGTAAACCAGGAGGCACACAGAGGAAGCAAAAACCACATATAATGCCCCAAGAGAAACCGAAGGTGGAGAACAGGGAGAACAAAGTAAAAAGAGAGAGGCGTAAAGGATTTGAAATAGTGGCAGATACTGAAGACAGGCAAAGGCAATCTCACATCCCAACAATAAGCATCCTTGGAGAAAAATCAAAGCAAGGGAACTGAATTAATATTAAACACTAGAATTTAAAAAAACAAACCCTTACCTGAAATGAAAAACACTGATTTAAAAATATAATAAAAAACAATACACAGCAAACCTGAGAATATCTAACCAGAATGACGACGATTAAGAGTTACTCTAGTAACATTACTGGACTTATATTTATTTTACAAAAAGGGGGTAGAGTGGGAAATGCAATGGACATCTAAAATAAGTGTCTTGTGAGGAGAAAGAAAGTTGTGCTATTATTAGGCTTTGAGAGCAACACTCTCTGCCAAAAGAGAATAAAAAAACATATTCAAGTAAAGAAAAGATGAGCCAAGGGCTTTAGAGTCAGCAAAAATACCTTTCAAGTATGAAGGGCACAGACACATTGTGATTAAGAAGCAAGAACTTGGAGAAGATTATTTCAATGAGTCCTCCCTGAGGAATCTAAAAACAGAGGGGTGACATCGACATAAGGACCACGGTCAACATTAAACATATAGCTACTTGTTGAAGACTAAAAATGGGAGACTATAAACTGCAATGGCCAAAGTCAGACAGTGTGGCTATAGTACAACTGCAAAAACTTGGGGAAATGAGGAGAGTACAAAGAAAACAAATTTTTTAAAATTCTTCTCAGTAATTATATTTGTTATGGTAGTGTTATTATTATCCTGAGCGTTTGTATATAATATGGAATAAAACATAGGACTAATTATGAAATATAATTCAATCATCCTCTGTAACCTTAAGAACCAGGATTCTTAGTCTGAAAAGAAAGCAAATACAGATAAAATACAGAAGAAGCTAAGTAAAAGCACCCTGTGGTCTTTTCTGAGTAGCTCAGCAAGGATGATATTAAGGGCTGGTGTGGGGCTGCCTGATTCTCAACATAAGAAGCAGGGGTAAGTCAGAATGGAATAAACTTTTACCTTTGGAAAATATTAAAGTTGAGTGTAACTCCTATAGTATTTTATCTTAAAATTTATACATACATATGTAGATAGATAGGTAAATAAATAATTTCCTGGCTGTCTATAAAAACAATGACCAACCTAGAAGCAACAAGTACCCTTAGCACTCACATTGTGGTCTTGAAGTACCATTTTGTTTACTAAGTGAAACCAGGGCTACCTGGAGAATGGTTTGTTCTAGGTTTGGGACAAAAAATGTACAAGGCGAGCCTAGAATAACTATTAGGCTCATGTCAAAAGACTCAGAAGTCAACTTGAAGAGGCTCTTACTGGCCAAAGGTACTACTATTTGAGTTTCTACAAGGAAAATAATTACAATGACTTGAAACCCAAATATGTTTAAATCCATAAATTCTTAACAATTTATTTTAGAAAAATAATTAGATACTTTCAGAAAATCATAGGTAATCAATTTATTATCTTGAAAAATGCTAAATAAATACAAAGAATGAAGCATTAATTATTTTTTTCTCTCTATGAACTATACCATTGTTTCAACAAATCATAGATGATGGACATGGTCTCTTGAAAGCAATTAATAACTAAGAAAGAATAATGATAAGAGAAATGGTAAAACTACAATATCATGATTTGTAAGTCTTAATGAATCAATGAACTTAGGCATTGAGTATCAACAACTGATAACATCACAGAAAGCGAGACAACCAGACAGTCTCTGCTGCTCAATGAAAACATAAACACCCTCTAAAGTCATGCCAAAGGGTCTGGACATGAATCTGACTGAGCCTCTGGATCCAGCTGCTAATTTTCAGGAAATACAGGGGACAGAGGAACGTGTGGAACTGTACCAAGAGTGCACAATCAGCAACATCCAGGCTGTGGGAAACTATAGGTCAAGTGGCCAGGTTTTAACATGAATGAGGAAAAACCTGTAGATTAAGAGATTCAAAGGAAACAGGTTTTAAACGGGCAAGACTAAACTCTACTGTTTACAGACTTCAGTGGGAAACTGTAAAGAAACAGGAGATATGACTATAAAAGTCAAAGTAGCGGTCACCCTCACGGGAGGGAACTGGGATGACTGGCAAGTTCTATATCTTGGCCTGAACAGTGGTGATGAGAATGTTTGCTCATTAAACTATAATTTGTTTTGTGGAAATGTCTATGTCTGTGTTTTATCTCATAATAAAAAAAAAGTTAAGTCTTTCCAGATCCCTTACCTGCGCCTTGGCCAATTTCTTTTCCAGAAGGTCCCGTTCCCGCTCTGTTTGCTGCAGACGTTTATTAAGCTCCACTATGTCTCCCTTTAGTGATGCCAGGGCTGCCAAGTGGAGCTGCGGCGACAGAAAGAAAGGAGCACAAGGTTAGACCCTTCAGCAGAAACTCATTTCCTTCCTTTCATTCCTTGTAATTAGTATGATCATATTAAAAATGTTTCATCTCAAAAGGGACGCTTTGGGTGCTATTAATCTCAGGGGACAGTGGACATAAATCAGGTGTCTTACAGGAAGCTGCGTTGATCACCCTAAGTGTAACAGGAGAAAACTGTGGTGCATGGGCAGTGAGACTTAATTTTTAAATTTTTTTTCTTTTTTACCCTCACCCGAGAATATTTTTTCCATTGATTTTTCACAGAGAGTGGAAGGGGGAGAGACACATTGATGGGTTGCCTCCTGCACGCATCCTGACCAGGGCCGGGGATGAGCCTGCAACCGAGGTACATCCCCTTGGCCAGAATCAAACCCAGGACCCTTCAGTCCACAGGATGATGCTCTGACCGCTGAGCCAAACCGGGTAGCGTGAGAGGCCTAATTTTGGATGGTCAAATCAGGACAGAGAGCAAGGCTCCTCATTCTAAGGGCTTTCCCTGAGTTCCTCTGTAAAGACGATATTAAGAGCTGGTGTGGGCTGCCTGATTTTCAACATCAGAAGCAAGGCTAAAGCGGAATAGTATTAGCTTTTACCTTTAGAAAAATATGAAAGTTGAATAGGGCAATTCAGTTTTTTGCAATTCAATCATCCACATTGCTGCGTGGACAACAGACAGACCAAGGGGCTGAATCTTTTAAAAAAACTTTTAATTTAATTTTTTCCATCACCATTTATCCCCCTCTTCCACCTCTATCTGCCCTTTTCCCCTCTGGGGCTGAGTTTTAAGAAAAAACTGGGAGAGCTCATTTCTTCAGAGGGCCTCCTCTTAAAGTCGGCCTGTTGATTTTCTTGTCAGCTCATTCTTCCCCATTGTCCCCCAGCCAGGCGAGACTGACCAGATGCTTCCGCACTGACAGGCCCTCTCGGGGGAGCAGAAACCAGACTCTGATAAATTATGCTGTGAAAAGACCATCCAAGAATCCATCCGGATATCTTTCCCTGGCCAATTCCCTCAGGTTAAATGGAGCTACAAAGAATGTTCTTCGTATTAACAAGGTACCATGTGCTGCCAGGATCTCAAGTGTTCAACTTTCAAGTTCTGAGCACTGAGCTTAAGCTGCCCATGCACCTACCACATACACAACTTCTGGGGCCAATGGGTGGGACTGTCTCTACGATCCATTCAAAGCACTAATCCCAAAGCAAGACTACCTTCCAACCTTTGTTCTCTGAGTCACTACTTCTCATCTGTCTTCACTGTCAGTTCCAGGTGGGGTTCAGCCCATTTGCTAGCTGAATTCCACATTACATTTGGGTGACTGACTAGAATCAACAAACTCTCCCTCTTTAAAGGATTTTTTTTGGTAGCTTCTGCCAAGATGGATTTAAAGTAAGGAGTGAACAAATAAATGTGATCTTTAAAAATGGATGCGGTACAACAGTACATAATTCAACTCTGAAGATTTTAATTTCAGGTTTAGAAAAATGCCCTTTTCTACAACAGGCCCCATCCGCACTGCATGTTGTTGGCTGGTAGGCTTTCGGGGAGCGGTGGCGAGGGAGGGAGAGAGGAGATACAGGGCAGGGACTGGGATTTCAAAGCGGTTGTTTATGTTAGACTATAACAGCAAGAAAAGTGACTTCACTTAATTGCGTCGGGGCTGCAAACCAACAGATCAATAGTCGACGTGAAATTAGGAATGCTTGAAATTTAAAAAAGGAAATGTCAGGCAATCTGGCGGTATTTGCCTTCTCATGCAGGGCTAGGGCCACTCCGAAAAGGTCACTTTGGGTTTCAGATACAAGGTTCTGCCTGATGAATTCTCAGCACAAATGCCACAGTGTTCCCATTGTACAATCTTTTTGAGGCTGTTCTGCTTCCCGTATGGTGGAGAGGGACACAATTCACTCCCTTGGCAGCTGGGGTGGCTGTCCGCCTGTGAACTGTCGCTCTGAGGATTTTCCTTCAGCAGCAGACACTGCGCCCTGCTGGACCGTGACGTCAAGTCTTGGGAGGACTGTCCACCTCACTCGGGGCGACAGGATAAAACAGGTGGAGAGCTGAAACGTTTCCGACACAGAGGAGCGCGAACCAGGACCCTGTGTCAGCCTTGCTTCCTCCCTTATAGCATCTCCCCTCCTACTTCTGGGGGAAAGGGCTGTTGGAGGGGCTGGGGAGGAATTAGAGGGAAAAGCTGCCAGGGGAGACTGAATATTCCACACCGCCTTCGTGAACTGGGCCAGAGGGGGGACACCAGAGTAGTTATTTCTGGCATCATGCACGGCAGAGGGGGGCCAGGATGGATCACTGCCGTTGAGGAGAGCACTGAGCTTGGAGCTGATAACACCTCCAGGCCTACCTGCTCTCCAGATTGGCAGGGAGATCCATGGGAAGAGTTTGGCGAAAGTCCCTTCACTTCCCTGATGGAAGAGGCGTATCCATAAAGTCAGAGTAGACCAGTTGCTCCTAATCTTCCTCGGGTCATAGATTCCTTAAGAATCTCATCAATGTGATGGACCTTCTCCCACAGAAGAGTATAAATTTGGGGTTCATGCATGAGTTCCACCTTATTGTGGTGATAACACACGCTGGAATCTATCCACGACCCCCAAATTAAGAAACATCTGTACTAGATGCCAGCTCTGTGATCCCGCCTAGTTTCATAGACTGTATCATATGTCATAACACAGACATTTGATTGAGGAAAAGGCCCTGGTACTTGACATCTCCCACTTCCATATTTGCAGGCGAGTACCTGAAACCCAGAGATTAACTTGCTTACTTGGGATCTCATAGATAACTTAACACTTGACCCAAGGCCACCGGTGCCCTTTCCTCACCATATGATGTTATATGTGACAGTAAATTTCAGGTGTTTTTAATGCAAATAAAATTTTTACTTAAAATATTTCCTTCTAATTATTAAAGAAAAGAAAGAAAATGTAATAGAAAAATAAACTGGAAAGATAGCATACTAAAGTTTAGTGGTGGCCTCTGGGTGGTTTCAAACTATTTTTGGATACTTAGGGTTTTTTTAAAGAGAAAGAGGCTTTTGTATGAAAGAAACAAGAGAGTTGTGACTGTGTTTTTGCATATGTAAGCTGTAGTATAAAAATTGAAAAGGGTTCTTTTCCTTCCTTGCTGCATCTTCCTTCCCATCCACCAGCTTTTCTGATAGAAGGTAAAATTTAAACAATGAGGTAGAATATTCACAGGTCCCTTAATGCCACTGACAATTACTCAGCAGAAGCTATAACTACAGAGGGTGGGAGGGGATGGGGAAAAGTTTGCCCATAAGTCACAAGAACCACTGCTTGGAATCAAGCTGACAGGCCCCTCCCTTACCACCTGAACACAGAGGGGTTAAGTTCCCACCACAAGGCGCACTCCCCACACCCTGGAAAGTTCAGTTCAGCAGCTCTTCTTGTCCCTCCTTGTCAATAGCCCAGCAATCTAAAGCTGACTAGCCCTCCCTTCTTTTTTGGTCTCATCCCCTCATTCTGTCAGAGCTGGTGGTATCTCTACAAATTCATAAGCTAGAGCAGGGGAGAGGAACTTCCAGCCCACGGGCCTGGTATGGCCTGTGAAATCATTAGGTCTCGCCCTGCCAAGGCAACAGTAGGCGGGACTAGAAATTCAATAAGTCTAGGGCCTTTTTTCATAGCTAATTTTTAATTTTGTATGGCCCGTGAATGATGTTATAACTATCCAAATGGCCCTTGGCAGAAAAAAGGTTCCCTACCCCTGAGCTAGAGAGTTTGTGGACAATGCTACACGTAGTGTGACAGAGCTTCCACATACGAGAGATACACAATTTTGCTTATGTTTCAGTGGTGACAATGGGTAGGGCCAACTTCTTTCACCTCATGAACTGTCCTCTTCGTTAAAGCAGAAGAAACAAATACAACTAAACTTCACCAAACACATAGTCTTGGCAGGTGCTACACTAAGAGTTTTCTCCTCTTTACCGAATTCAATCAGCTGAAGAGTCCTGCAGAAGAAAGACAGTGTCAAAACCCCAGTGCCAGCCTCTGGGAATATTTTGAGAATTGTCAACTCGATAGTAATAATTAAAATCATAACATCAATAGTTACCATTGGTGTAACGTTTAATGGGTACCAGGCGCTTGGACTAAGCACATTTCATGCAGTATCTCATTTAACCTTCACCATAATGCTGCGAGATAGGAAATATTACCTCCTCTTGACAAATGAGGAAACCAAGATCCTGAGGAGGGATAGAAAATCAGCCCGAGAGCAGAAAACTAATAAACAGCAGAATAAATATTCACACACAGATACCCCATGCTCTAGTCTCTGCTGTGTGCTCACCAGCACCCGCTTTCCCTTGCTTGTGGGGTGCGTGTGCCCGTGGCATGTATATGGATGGGAGGTCAGATGTATGCATTGGCAGGGGTGGAGACAGGGGGAAAAGCAGGGAGCACAGGGAGGTGACAGGGAAAGCCCTCTTGTAGCCGCGACGAAGCTTGGGGCTGGCGGTCAGCTCAGCTCAGTGTGTATTTGGGGGATTCTCTTTAACTTCCTGCGCTTGTTCATCCTTTTGAGAAGGGTTTGTACCAAATGGCCCCACCGTGAGTTCTGTGCTTGGGGCTTTGCCTACTTTATTTGCCCACTTGCCAGAAAGGATCTGTGGAAACTCACCACACAAGGAAGCTTCGCTACAGAGAACTGATCAGCAATGCTCTTTCCCTTGGAATTGAAAGCACCCTTCAAATCACACACAGTCTTATCAGTGGAGAGGAAATTTGAGAATGTCTAGTCCACTTCCCTCCCTATAAAGACGTGAAACAGACCCAGAGAAACAAAGCTCATCAAATTCCGATTTCCCACTTCCCTGTCCAGAGCTTCCACTTTCCCATATGGCAATCTGGGAGCTCCTGGGGAGTGAATAACTGTGTACATCCCCTGTCCTTGGAAATAGCAAGAGACATTTGTACATGA